AACATACTTTGGATTTTATTACTATAGCTTCATATTTTAGCTTTTAACCTAAATTATTTATTATCTTATATTTATTAGGGCTCCTATTGATAGCAGTTATACATTCCATGTAACTGAAGGGATTACCCTGTTTAAATAAAAGTGTTCATTCATTCATCATGTATCATCATCATCATGTATCATCATGTATCATCATCAATATGGTATCAACTTCATCATGCATCATCATTATTATGTATCATCATGTATCATCCTCATCGTCATTTATCATCATGTATCTTCATCATAATCATGTATCATCATTAGTCAGTTATCATTAATCAGTTTTAATCAACATTTCCAAAAGTAATGAAACCACATGCGAATGATGATCAAAAAAGGTGAAGCTATTTTTATGCTTCGACAGAGCGTGGAGTGGTAGCTCCGAAGCCAGGAGCTCGAAGGTGCGCACTCTACTCCCTTAGACATCAGTGCTCCTTATTGCGAGTATTTGAAGCTAAAGCTACACAACAAAGAGAAGTGGAAAAAATACGTGGAGATAAACAGAATTACCGAAAATAGGAAAATTTGGAAAATATTTTAATGTCGTGACGGTTATCATGGAAGCACTCTCCGTCTGGGGCTGTGTTGGTCACGTTAATTCACCTACCCGCCCTTGGGGGTAGGCTGGATGGTGAGAACAACGTCCGGACTAAGGAGAATTTAACAATTTTTAACCCTAGAGATGGGTCAATGCCAATTCTTTTGACCATATTTCTTCCCTTCAGGAAGCACTCTTTTGGCTTTGGAGTCGTGTGTGTCAGTGAATTATTATCAATTATTATTCAACGACTAGGCGAATGGGGGGGGGGGGGGGGTGGATAATTTTTGTTGCAATATCATGAGGATTTACTAATTTCTTAAGAGTCACTATATTTAATAGTGGTTGATACTCTCTTACTTTTGTTTGATCCCCCCAGATCTCCCCCTCCAATAGTCCCTTCACAGTTCCATGCGCTATCTTGAAAGGTAGCCGTGACCATGTAATGATAAAGATGTGAATAATTGCAGCTCACCGTTCGTCTCGCTTCTATGCAAAGGCACGGCTTCCTTTCAAGATGACACAGGGAACTGTGTGAGGAAGGAACTATTGTCTAAAATGCGTGATCCTTTTCCCTTAATCCCCGATGCCCCGATCCCCGGTCCCTTATCGTAACAAACCCGTGTCCCTCTTTTCATGGTCTAAATATGATTTTGGTTGATATATAACTCTTTTTAATCGAACAACTATCCTTTACCGGCGGCCCACGCATTAAAAACAAACCTTTTTGAAACAGCTGTGCACAGGTGTTAACTTAGACGGAGTCTGATTATGCTGTGTTTGATTACTCCGAAAGACATTTTTTAGAGGTAGTGACAAGGAACAATTGTGTTGGATATTGAATATTTCAATTTCATCTTTTTAATCTAGAGCACTCAAAAAATAATAAACTATTGGATAGCATAATGAAGCCAAAAATCCTGCAGTAAAATTTACCGATATGCGTCAAAAGCACAAATAATGATCTGTTTTTCCACAGGGAGACCAATTTAGATAATGGTGGAAATAAAATCGGAAGATCAAATTATTATTATTATTATTATTATTATTATTATTATTATTATTATTATTATTATTTGTAATTCGAGGTCAAGATAATGTCCTCTGTAATACGAAAGAGTAAGAAAAATGAAAGATGCACTAGAATATTTTCGCGCTTGCCTTTGTTTTCCTATATAATTCCCCTATGGTATCTGATGTCGCTCTTATGTATATATACTCTGACAAGGTAGTAAAGTACAGTCGCCATCTTTGAAAAAAACAGCACAATTTCAATCACGATTTCACCGTTAGTCTTTTAAACCTCGAACTCCACCAAAAACTTGACCAAAATGATTCCTACGATGGGGCATTCATAAAGTAAGTTTTGTCCCGAAAAAGTACACGGAAATCTCCCAAATTACTCTTTCGTATTATGGAGGACATTATCTTGACTCAAGAAACAAGTCAAGACAAGAATTACATGGAGAATATTGCTTATGGTCCGCGATGATGAAACCATTCTTACTATCTAAATTGGGCTGCCTGTGGTTTTTCTTTGTCAAAACTACGAAAAACAAATTTCTATTTTGACAGTTTTTTAAATTTTCCGCTGAATTGTGCCTGTTTTAATCAAAAGAGGGGAAAAAACAAGTTTTGCTATGAATTTTAGAGCATATTATAGTGTAGTATTTTAAGAAGACTTCTGCTCTGCTTTCTTTTTTGTTTTTTCTTTCTCTTTTTCTCTTTCATTGCCAAATCATTGGGCAATATCCAAAATTCAAAAAACAAAAAACAATATTTCAACACCAATATATGTATATTAATGTCACACATGCCACTTTTATTTCGGGTTTTTTTAATAACGTGCATGGCAGTAAGCCTTCTTAATCATTGCTTGAAAAAAATATTGTCCACGTCTTTTGTGGTCCTTGCTCAATACTCCATATTCGAGTTCTTTTTGCTCAGTCTTGTCTCGTTTATGCCTTATGATATTCAGCTATTCAACCAAAACCCGTGTCATTTTAATCAACTCGTATTRTCCGTAGTACGTACATTCCTTACTCTACAATGGACCCGCTTAGTAAAAGAAAAGAACACATTTATAGTCGAGGCTAAGACTGAGTAAAGGCGAACTCGGAATGGGAGTATTTTCACGGGTTCTCCAAGTGGCGTCCAAGCGAGATTCAGAGAGGCGATTATGTCAGTCGCAAACAGCTGTTTGCTTGCGACAGAGCCAAAAGTAAATAGCTAATTTTAGTCCCTAAATTAACGTAAATGATGTAGAAAAGAGCCATAGGTACCCATTATAAAGTAAATATATGTGGCATTTGTATAGAATGAATAGCAGACACTCTTCAAAATATAAAAGTTTTACTACGTTTGTAACTAGGACGTGCATTGAAAATGGATTTCTTTCTTGAGGCTGAAGAAATTTAAGACCTAAAAATGTTTGCTTTAGTCCCGAGTTTTAAGGAGTAATTAATCAAATCCATAGTCTCATGTGTGCAAACGAAGACAAGACTTCCAGTAAATGACTCCGAGAGCTTGGACAGCCAACCAAAATGGCATCGATTTGGACTTTAACGCTTTCAAGAACTTTTGCACTAGGAATTTTCGGATGTCTTTTGGTAATGAATGAATCTACGTATAATCTTTCAAATAAGAGTGGTCTCCAGCGATCTAACAAACCGAATGTTTCAGTTTGGGATGAAATTCGTCGAATATTTGGTAAATATTAATTTAGTTTGTTGTCGTTATTAAGAATTTATTCTAAAGAATACTCCTAAATGGAAATTGCTTGAGATTACTTCCTTTATTTCCTTGTGACCTTTTGTTTAACTTAAGTCATCTTGTTATTTTACCAAATGGTCGAATATTTTCCTATATTTTTTTTTCGTTCATGTTCTCTGAATCTTGAAGTTCTTGCAAGGCATTAGTTTTTGTATTTGCCAATTTATGACCGAGCTTAGATCAAGTTACATAAACTTATTTTAATGATAAAAATTTAAAAAAATTAAAAATCTACAGCAACTTTTCTCTGGTACCATAGTGTCTCTCGTTGACAATTCTTGGATTTCTCTGACAAGAATCGCCAACGAAGGAGAGTCTACTACAGCAGGGAACAACAACTGAGCTGTCCATACCACAGACGTGTTTTTTAAAACAGTTTTTTAAGGTTTTATATTTTGGGAATTTTTATTATATTAATATCAATTAGCAAATCCGTCAAAGGATTAATACTGGTCGATGTTACAACCCTTTATAACAGAAGTGATCAGAATCTATATGTACAGCATTTCCGAGTCTCTCAAAATGTTGACTTGACGAAGTCTTCCGCGCAACAAACGTAAACTCTTCCCCTCCCTCGGTGCATCTCTCGCTATACCGTCTGCTTTTGATTACCACAGGAGAAGCTTCCAGATATGCAATTCGAATAATATTTCCCAGCAAATAATGTAAACAAAATAAAAAATGTTCGCGTTTAACTTATATTTCAGGAGCAACCATAATTCGATTTGAAAATCTAGGGTGCTACGTGGATGACAGAAACGATCGAGCTTTCCTGATAAGTAGAAAGGATTCATTCAAGAACTTTCTGAATAGTGGGTGGACCAACCTTAATACCGCCTTTCCAAAAATGGTTTACGGATGTGCTAATTTTACCTTAGAGCAGGGCTATCGGTATTTTGGTGTACAGGATTGGGGAGAGTGTTGGGCTGGTGATAACCGGTATGACAAGCATGGGAAAGGTAATGGAGATAATCTGTGTTCCTATAGCGTTGGAGGACCTCATCGAAATAAAGTGTACAAATTTCTACCTGGTTAGTAAAAGACACTGTCGCCTTCGGTATTTAATTGCTGCCATGCATGCATGCATGCATGCATTCATCCATGCATCCATCTATCTATCCATCCATGCATCCATCTATCCATCCATCCATCCATCCATCCATCCACCCAATGATATACTTGATGAATTTCAATTGGAGCAAATAATCAACGAGCCAACTAGGGTTACGAAAAAGACAGAGTCCTTAATCGACCATGTAATATCAAATTGTAAGAATAATATTATTCAGTCTGGAGTTTATGCACTATCTATTAGTGACCATTATTTGGCTTTCGCCATC